ATGCTATCATATTTTATGATTCTAGCATACGTTTGACCACATCCGCGTACAGTAATGCAGTGCGTGTTGTGTGTGTGTGTGTTAAATACAGAAATAGCACCCGTAACTGACACGGTGCCTCTTAATACAGTGCACCGTATAGTCGTGAAAATACTGTACGTTACATTTAGAATTTGCAATCTACTTGATCTGTTCACTTTTTAGATTATCTTGTAAAGTTATGCAATATTGAAGTCAAAATTCCATTACATTTTATCTGTCTCCTCCAGAGATAAGCATCAGGCTCACACGTGACACTACATTGTCACATGAGCTCTTGACCCACTACGCGCTGGTCATGTGAAATTGAACTTGACAGGACACACCTTCCTTTTCAGATGAATTAGTTTCTCTGGTTTCCTCTTCACAAGTAGACTCTCACCGGGCCTTCCTGATAACAAACAATGATAACATGATACTAGGCCCAATATAAAGTGTTATAAAGTGTATTAATTGTTTAAGAGGCAAAATTTAAAAGCAAAGGTTAGGTTTGTCAGTTTTTATTGGTGGCTAGCAAGTGCTCTGTGGTAAAATTCCGTCTTCAGCTGAGGCAAGCAATGTTCCCTCAAAATTTCCATGCAACTCAGCAGTCACACAAACTCCCTGATCCTTTCTAGACCACGGCGAACAAACGACACGGGCTTACTGGTACTATGTCAAACATGGGTGTTGCGCACTTGACACACAGCCCAGTACAGATTAAAACAGTGTTGTATACCCTGTGTGCTTTCGACTTGACATGTGACAACCAACTATATATAATCGCATGTTTACAAATTTACTACTGTATGTGTTAGTATCCAAAATGAGCATATGTATCAAAATTGGTGTGTTATTGTCCTCTCACCCTGCCCCTCACTTTCTCCTAGTCTCCACAGCTCAAGATGATCAGAGAACTGGAACAGCAGCAGGCCCAACTTCTTAGCACAACACACGAGACTCCTCTGCGTGGAAAATAAACAGAAACCACACTCTGTATTTTGTTCGATGTTCGGCCGACTGTCAAATAATATATTAAAATGATCCATCTTCAAATGACGTGGCTAACTGTACGTACTGAATCAAACATGAATTCCCTTGAGTACTGAAATACAGTACTTACGTGAGGGAAGACTATTTTACGTAGAGCCGACTCTTGGGTGTTCTTTTCCACCTTATCCAGCAGGGGTCGTACTACGACCTGGGTATCCATACCTGAAAGGAGACGCCAAGTAAACATTGGACTGTACCCACTTTCGATCCAGTGTCAGATCACGTATATCATAGCTTATTCTGCAAATATTTTAAATGGCAATCAAGGCAACAACACACGGTGGGCCTCCCTCATGTTCACTAATTGCTGCATGCAAAACTCCATCTCCAATTAGATTCAAGTTCAATTTGGGAGGGCATTATTGGGTTCAACCGACCTATGTGAGTTGAAGAAAACATTGACGTTTTATGTCACGATGAAGAAAAAATTCGAATGATAAAAAAGAAAAAAAAAAGCATAACTAACAAGACCATTCCAAATAAATATGACCACAAGTCAAAGATTCTAGATAAAAAGCATCAAATATAAATCAGACCAACCACAAATGAACATTTATAACTGACCTCCAGAAACAACAGAAATCTCAGTGTGAACCAGCGCCCTCACGTCGTGTGTGTGGTTTTTAAAGGTTCTGGTTCGGACCCAGTCCTTATCCTGTTGGTTGACGGTGCGAGAAAGAAACTGGAACTGGACCACAGTGCCTTCTGATGTACCGTCTATGAGACTGCTTTCATCCTATGAAGAACCATTTAGCACAGTGATTCTCCCAACAACGTTTCCAGTATATCGTGCAGCAGTCTAGCATCTTGACTATAAAATTTGCATCGCTGTTCAGAGACAATACAGTGAACCAAAAATATGTTATACAGTTTAAACCCCTTCCATCCTGGGTTTCGGGTTCACGATCCTGGTATCTTGCAATTTTTTTGTAAAAGTCATTCATTTTGTATTTCCACTATTTGCTGTCCTTTTGCGGTGTTGTTTTGACTTGAAATCCCGCGCGTCACGATAAAATACCCATACCTATTGGTTCAGCCAATCAGAGCATCTCTATGGGGGGGGGGGGGCATTCCTTTGAGAAATGGGATTCTAATCCACATCCTTAGAGACTCCCAACTTAAACAAAGCACGATGGAGTCATACTCGCTTGATGATGTCTTCAAATAAGAGGAAACTGGGGAAGGATTCCAAAAATATGTTATACAGTTTAAACCCCTTCCATCCTGGGTTTCGGGTTCACGATCCTGGTATCTTGCAATTCATACTCGCTTGATGATGTCTTCAAATAAGAAGAAACCGGGGAAAGGATTTGCAATAAATGCTAAATAGACATGCTCATACTAACCTGCAACCAACTGATGTAACAAGTGTCATGTCACAAGCACCAAGCCACACAACTCTCTCTGGCGTCACGATAAAATACCCATACCTATTGGTTCAGCCAATTAGAGCATCTCTCTCTTTTTATCAGCTACTGATCGGCTGTACTGTTCTGTCAGTAGATGCATCGTGCGTTGCTCGGCTTGCTGATCACTTCTGCGTTTCCCATACTGTATTTTCACGACCATAGGGCGCACTGAAAAGTCTTCAATTTTCTCCAAAATGGAGGGGGCGCCTAATATCTATGCACTGAGTTGCAAACTCTGTGAATGCTGTTGTGTGACATAGATGAGGGTTCTGCTTGACTCACTGAGGTTTCACCCACACCTTGTTATAATGAGGAAAGGCGGGCGTAACCGAGGACAGCAAGCGCACGTTAAAGTGGGAAGGGTGGGCGTGAAAGAGGATGCAGAAGGCACGCCCCTAGTGTGTAAAATTTTTTCAATACTTTTTATGAAAGTGAGACGAATAGGATGATTAGGGTGCAGTGTGCGTTAACACAAAAAATATCTTACAAAGTGCGTTGGCAGAATGACACTGAAGCAAGAAAAGATTTTCTCAAAAACTGTAAAAAAACTTCTTACATTTCTGCCTGTCAAAGCTCCTCTGAAACTGAATTCTGTCCTCCAGTATTTCAAATATCTTCACTGTCCCATCTTCACATCCAACCTGACACAAAAAATACGCATCGTCACTCCAAATGACAACATTTACATACCCGAATTCGGTTGTGCTCCTGCGGCCTTTTTAAAAACATACGCTAGTGTGGATGCATGCTATCATATTTTATGATTCTAGCATACGTTTGACCACATCCGCGTACAGTAATGCAGTGCGTGTTGTGTGTGTGTGTGTTAAATACAGAAATAGCACCCGTAACTGACACGGTGCCTCTTAATACAGTGCACCGTATAGTCGTGAAAATACTGTACGTTACATTTAGAATTTGCAATCTACTTGATCTGTTCACTTTTTAGATTATCTTGTAAAGTTATGCAATATTGAAGTCAAAATTCCATTACATTTTATCTGTCTCCTCCAGAGATAAGCATCAGGCTCACACGTGACACTACATTGAATATCTTACAAATATGCACAGATACACACAAATGTTTGTTTTTTTTCTTCTCTGCACCCTTTGCGATCGACTTGGGACCAGTCCGGGAGCTACCGGTCGATCGCGATCGACATAATGGGCACCCTGAAATACTTCAATCAAGTACAACCGAATTCGGTTGTGCTCCTGCTGCCTTTTTAAAAACATACGCTAGTGTGGATATATGCTATCATATTTTATGATTCTAGCATACGTTTGACCACATCCGCGTACAGTAATGCAGTGCGTGTTGTGTGTGTGTGTGTTAAATACAGAAATAGCACCCGTAACTGACACGGTGCCTCTTAATACAGTGCACCGTATAGTCGTGAAAATACTGTACGTTACATTTAGAATTTGCAATCTACTTGATCTGTTCACTTTTTAGATTATCTTGTAAAGTTATGCAATATTGAAGTCAAAATTCCATTACATTTTATCTGTCTCCTCCAGAGATAAGCATCAGGCTCACACGTGACACTACATTGTCACATGAGCTCTT